TACGTACAGGTAAACTTATAATGAAGCTTACATATCGGCAAAATGAATATCTCCTAAACATGCACTGTTTTTAGGAGATATTCTAGTGAGCAGCAGCCAGTGACATACCCGTGCTGTTCCTTCAGAGCTGTGTGCCATGGCCATAGTGACGTCATCGCGTTTTCGGCCATTCAAGTGGCTGCAGCCCGGAAGAAGGACTGGGTGAAGATGGAAACCTTTGCAGTGGTGACAGCACGTTTTTGGAGGGCTTTGTTCTCAGGTAAGTCTTTCATAATGTGCTAGTATGCAATGCATACTAGCACATTATGACATTACCTTGCAGGGGAAAATCTTCACATTTTGCAGAAAATATCCTATGCCCCATTCAGTGTTAAAAAAAAACTATGCGACTTAAAGTTTTCTTCATACCTGTACGCCTTTGGGCCTCCCTTAAAGCTTGGTCAAAAAATCCCAATTAGCAGTCCTCATATTCTGCCTCTCCCCTGGGTTTTTTTAACATCCTCATACCTTTTAAGCTGCATTATCTTCAAGAAATATCCTCATATACAGTACTGATCAGCTGGGATTCACTGCTCTTTGCTGCACAGCCTTCTACTAAAAGCCAGATATCTCTTTCCGGTTCTGACAGCTGGCCTCCAGATGATGTGTACCAGCTTCGCCCTCCTCTGGCCACTGTAATCCAGATTATACTTCCTGGGATATGAGTGGTGGCAACATCACTGTGTCCTAGGTGAGAATGGAGATGGAGCTGGGGGCACAAAAAAGATAAAGCAAACTTTACTGAAAAAAAAAATAAAAACCTTCTCCCTGCAAGGTAATGTCATAATGTGGTAGTATGCATCACATACTAGCACATTATCCACTTACCCTCCAGAGGATTTACCCCCCTTCCTGACCAGGCCATTTTTTGCGATATGGCGCTGCGTTATTTTAACTGACAATTGCACGGTCATGCAACACTGCACCTAAATGAAATTCATGTCCTTTTGTTCCCACAAATAGAGCTTTCTTTCAGTGGTATTTGATCGCCTGTGCAGTTTTTATTTTTTGCGCTATGAACAAAAAAGGACCAACAATTTTGAGAAAAAAACTTTTTGCTATTAAACATGTCCAGTAAAAAAATTTAGAAAATCAAATTTCGTCATAAATTTAGGCCAAAATGTATTCTGCTACATGTCTTGGCACTATATATACTAGTAATGGCGGCGATTAGTGACTTATATCGGGACTGCGGTGGGCATTCTGACACTGGAGGGAACTAACTTGGTGTTACTGACATCCCCAGCTAATAAAATGCACTGTCACTGGGCTAATGGCACTGGACAAGAAGGTGATAACATGTGGGGCAATGAAAGGGTTAACTGTGTGCTGTTTTACTATGTTGGCTGTGAGTGCTTTACACTGTAAGCACACTGCTTTGTATGGCTCTGTTATGCAGGGCCATACAAAGCAATCTGCAGGAACTGACAGGGGAGAGATCTGTGTTGTTTATACACAGGTCTCTCCCCCGTCAGTAATACTCAGCGACCACTGGGTACCAGCAAAGGAATCACCGGCCAGGATCCGATGATTGACAGCCGAGGCCGTGAATGGTGGCGCGGGTAGGACGCGCACGTGCCCCCTACCCGGAACTAAAAAAAATCACGTATATATACAGTATGTAATTTTGCGCACCCGTGCCTCCCTGTAGCAGTATTTCTGCCATAGGGTGACGCGGAAGCGGTTTTTAAAGACTTACCTTGAAATTAAGCTTTCCAGGGGCCCGCTGTCACGGTTGATAGGGTTTCCATCTTCATCTGGTCTTCCTTCTGGGTTCATGTGCTCTGGCCACTTGAATGACCGAGCTGAAATGACATCACTCCCATGCACAGGAGTCTCAGCTGAGACACAGAGCTCTGAAGGAAAGGCATGGGTATGTCATTCCTTCAGAGCCCATTTGCCAGTGACTTCACTGGCTGCAGGGACACTGAATATCTCCTAAACGGAACATGTTTAGAAGATTTTCCTTGTACCTACAGGTAAGCTTTACTGGAGTTTATGGCAAATAAACAAAAAAATGATCATTGTAGATTGTAGAAAGGGGGATGTTTAAACTAAGCTAAATGCAATACTGAAGTGAAGGGGAGGTCAGCTTTTAAAGAGTGTTTGTGGCATTAGTCTTTTAACACAGAGTAAGCAAGTAGTGGAAAAATTTTAAAACGAGATTTTGTTAAAAACCAAAAAAGTGGAAACAAATTAGTGTGGTTATTATTTGTTATATTGATGTCCATTTCATGAAGTTACCTGAACTGAATATGACTGTTTTGCTTTGTAGATTTATCCTGATGAGGACCATTTCTTCCTGTCAAAGGGGAGCCAGCAGCACCTGCATCAGTCTGTGGTTTCCTATCTGCAGAGCTGCCTTCAGAATAGTGGCACCAGGCAGAGAGACCTGTGATAGAGCTTCCCTGTAAACCTCAATCAGAGCACAAGATGTGGATGGTTTTGCCATAGACACGCCTGTTCATGGATGTATTTAACTATTCACACACAAGGCTTCCATCAAAAGTACAAGGTGCTACTACAAAGCAGGCATATGTGTCACCATGACGCGTTGACCACATGGTGCATGGTGTGCATCCTAACAGTCAGTTCCTATAAGATTGTTGCTAAGAAGGCTTTGGCAGTCCAGAAATGAAAGAAAGAAAATACTATGCTTTAGATCTGCGCATATATACCTCTGACTGCTATAGTAATATAGATAAGGTGCTAGATGTCAGCAACTTTATGTAACATACAAGGAAATGAACCATGCTTCTTGTCAGACTTGTTTTAAAAAGCACTTTTAATGTTTTTCATTCAGACTGTATTTTTTAGATTGTCGACTATCTATACTGCTACTCGTTATCTCTTTAAAGTGGTTGTAAATCCTTACATATACCCAGTAAAATGACTGGCCTCAGGTGATACACAAAGATGAAACAAATCCTTTGGCATAAGTTGTACCTGTTTATGTGCAATCTTCTCTTCACTACATCTGCTCAAAGTCCAAAATTTATAAAGCTTGTCTGAGAGTTCAGAAAACGGGACGGGGAGCTGAAATTACACATTGCAGAGTTCAGTGAAGAGAGCTCTGAGAGCTGATTGGAGGGAAGGGGCACACCCCCTTCACACAACTCACAGGAAGCCTAACAATCACAGGCTGTGTGCTGAAATTCCTTGCATCACCCCTTTTTTCTCCTGCTGTAAAACTTGCCAGAAGTGACTCATGCAAGTTAGAGAGGAACCAGGCAGCAGACAGAAATGACACTTAGGGCTCGTTCACACTTGACTTATTTCTAACTGTTGCCAAATACCCCTATAGCGTTTGACAGGCATTAGACAGGCATTTGGGAAGTGTTTTTAAAGCTCCCCAAACGCTCTATGCGTGGTTTTGAGGCGTTTGATAGGCGTTTCCCAAGCGTTAAAACTGCACCGCAAACGCCTATAATGAAGTTAAATGGTATTAATGCTCCACAAACCCCTCGCAACCACCTTGCAGACGCCCCGCAAATGCCTGCCAGGCATTTGAGGAGCGCACCACCATAGACTTGAATGGGAGCCTTCAACTCCTCCTGACTCAACATGTTTTGCCGCGATGCAATGCTAACGCTTCAGTGTGAACAGCACTGTGTGCTGCCATGTGCAGAATTTTCATAGGCGTTTGAGAAGCCTTAAAAACGTTTCCCAAACACCTGTCTGATGCCTGCTGACAAAGCTAGTGTGAACGTAGCCTTAGTGCTCAGGATAGAGGCAAGCACACACTATAGAGAGAGAGCCTTTTTTCATATTTCATGTCTGAGGTTTACAACCACTTTAAGTTTATATGCGCCTTGCAAACCTTATAATACCAATCAGTCTAACCGATACCCATCACTAGAGGGCAGTAGAACACTAAATTCATTGACATGGCAGATGTTGAAGCATTGCAGTAGCTTATTCTTTACCTTTATCAATAGTTTAGTAGTGTTATAATGCAGTTGTACAACATATCAGACATTCCGGCCATTTCTGATGTTTGCATACCTGCAGATTTTTTAAATGCACCTAGTAACAGAGCTGTATTTAGACATCTTGTTGACCTAGACACATATGAATGATGACACCATTTTATACAAGCCCTTCCTTTTTGTGTCACTTGATCTCTTTGTAAAAAAAAAAAAAAAATACTGCTAGAATACGCTATTGGAGGAAGCATGTTCTCTACTTTGGATGCATGACTACTTCTGAACTATACAGATCACCAAACTAGAGAAGGGAACCGTGCTTTTTTGTTTCCTGAACTACAAAGAGCCTTCTGACTCCTCTCAGTTTTCCCTGCACTCCCTTCCCCCTACAATTCTTTGAATTTAGTTACAAATATCCAGAAGAAAATATTACCACAGTTTGTTAATGCTGAGACTTGGCACTACCCCTCTAACCTTGATCCCCAAGTGACTGGCTCACAAGTGCCTTATGGCACATACAGCCCTTCTGGGAGTACACACCAATTGCCAACAGTGCTGTACTTGCTAGGCACAGCTCACAGCAAAACCCTGAATACAAATGCACATAAAATGAAAACCCTGATGGATCCTCATTGTTCAACGAGTTCCAACCACTTATGTATTTTAAATGTAGAAATTGCATTATAACAAATTTCAACACATTTTCTAGGAGCTATCTCCTACTTCCTGCTTGTCTCCCCCTGTTGACATCCTCCCACTGCTATAAACAGCAATTGCTATGTATTACAAAGCAGGATCAGCTGTCAAAATTGAGTTACGTCTCTGAAAAATGATACTTATAGATAGTCTGCAAGTGTCATTGAGTATTACAATGTAACAATGTATTGTTACACTGGAGTTATTATTTCTTGCATATGTGGATCAAAGGCATGCGCTACTATACATATGACTTTAGTCAAGTAAACCATGCATTTTTAAAAAATTAATGTATTCATATTTAACCTCTTATTAACCCTTAGTTAAAGTGTTACTAAACCCAGGACCCTGCATTCGCTATATCTGGTCTTCCACAGTACACATAACATAAAATTCAATTATTTTAGTAAATATAAACTGCTAAATACCTTTTCCCATCAGCAGTATATGGCAGTCTTGTGACTTCTATCAGTGTTCAGCTGAGCACTGGTTAAAACTTGTAGGAGGAGATTTTCATTCTGCTCTGACTGTCCTATGAGGGTGCATGTCAAGGTCCTACCTTTCCTCAGAGATTGTGTTGCTCCATGTGCTGGCATCCATCTTAAGTTCCTGCAAAACATGGTGGGAGCCTTTATGCTTTCAGGCCTCTACGGCTCCTCCTCCAGAAGGGTGTGGCTGATCACATTTAAGCCTGCTGTCTGTAGTGGCTCTTTGCATTCGTGTCCTGTATGTTCCTTTGCAGCAAGCTCTTGTTCTGTTCTCGTTGCTCTCCTGGTAACCGACTCGGCTTGGACAAGACTATTCTCTGCTTTATCCCATTACCTGACGTCCCGTTGCTGAACCCGGCCCGTGACCTGAGTATTCTTGTCTATCGTCTTGTACTGTTTGCTCCGTTGTTATCGACCCAGCCTGTCCGACCACGCTATACGTTTTCCATCTGGCTCCCACCAGCTGTACGCCATTGGCGGCAGTCGTTCCTGCAGCTGGGGTTACTCGGGGGCCGCGGCCTGGTCTCAGGCTGCGTCAAGTCCATCCCCACCATCAGGGGCCCTGGTGAAGGGCAGCCTGGGGCTTAGACTCCGCGCCCTGAGGGACTCTGGTCTGTGAGTAGCGGCTGTCGTCAGTCGCTGCATGACTTTACCATTAGGCCTGCCTGCCCATTCCACCGCTCCTGTCCTGACAGTGCATAACCCCTGACGCTGTGCCTGGACAGTGCTGATTGGCTCTGTGCTGATCACATGCACTCTCCCAAAGGAAAAAAAACTCTCTAGCCATACACACTAAACTGAGCATGTGCGGAGTGTCTCCTAGAGCTCTGTACTATCAGCAGATGGATTGGGGACAGTAGAAGAAGGGAAGGATCAGACAACAGGATCAAACAGCCTTTTTACACAATGCAGATGAATAACCCCTAAGGCTGGCCATACACTATACAATTTTCTGTCCAATTTCCTTTAGATTTACCTTCAACTATGTAGTGCAAGAGCCCGCCTAATTGGATATAATTGAAAGTGTTGTTTAGGTTTGACCTCATATTATATCGTTTTTGGTAAATCTAAAGCAAAATTCTCAAGAAAATTGTATAATGTATGGCCAGCCTTAGCTCCACAGTGAGTATAACAAGCATGCTTTACTGCATATACAGACTGATTTTACTGTTGTGGGTTTAGCAACACTTTAATCCTTGTCAGCCCTAATTAACTCCTTTCTTTCTCCCTTTAGCTATTTCTGCTGATTATTTCTATTTTCTTTACAACTAATATTTATTTAATTTGTTTTGTTAGTTTTTCAGAGATGCCTAAAAATGTGCAACATTGTAAACAAAACATATTTTTTAATTTGCTCATAACTTTGTCATGCTTTGTACCAGAAACATTATTTTACCGTGATTGTAAACGGGACAAATTATAGAATAAAATCTATACTGTTTATTCATAGTAAAATTACTTTTAAAAAAATGAACACTGGTCAAAACTGAACATTTTTGCAAAACAATATATCCAAAAGAAAGCTTTATTTCCCCCACCAAAAAAGTATATATATATAATTTTTTTTTTTTTAATTTAATTTATTTTTTTTGGTACAGCACAGTATTCACATGTTGATGTCCGACACGTACATTACAGTACATTTACAATTTGCACATGCATGTATTTTTGTTTTAAATACAAACCCTAAACCTAAACTTTCAGCTTTTAAATATCAGACTATATCATTATGAAAACAAAGTTGTTGGTATTTAAATTTCTGCCATTCAATAATGAATTATTACCTACTATTCGATTCATGTATTTTGATTACTTTAAGTATTTTCATCACTGGTATAAAAAGCATCTCATTGTCTAATTCAGGGGTCTCCAAAGTTTCTGAACAAAGGGCCAGCTTTCTAGTCTTCTGACTTTAGGGGGGCCGGACTGTAACAAGTGGAAGTGAAAAATGCAGCAGAATTAGTGCCCAATCATTGGCGTCAGTAGAAGGAATAGCGCCCTATTATTGGTATCAGTGAGAGGAATAGTGCCCCAACATTGGTGTCAGTGGAAGGAATAGTTCCCCAACACTGGTATCAATTAAAGAAAATTTGCCCCAATACTGGTGTCAGTAGAAGTTTATTTTTTGCACTATAAACAAAAAAAGAGGAAAAAAAAAAGGTTTTCTTTGTTTCTATTATAAAATTTTCCAACAGGTAATTTTTCTCCTTCACTGATATATGTTGGCTGCACTGATAGGCAGCACTGATGGGCACTGATGAGGTGGCACGGATAGGCAGCACTGATGGGCACTGTTAAGCTGCACTGAGGAGGTGACACTGATGAGGCGGCACTGGTGGGCATTGATGAGGAGGCACTGATGATGCTGCACTGATATGCAACAATGATGGTCACTGATAGGCGGCACTGATGGGTGACACTGACAGGTGGCCTGACTGATGGGAGTGACTGGCAGCACTCATGGGCAGCACTGCTCGGCACTGATGGGCACAACTGCTTGTACAGCACTGATGGGTGGCACTGGTGGGTGATATTGCTGAGCACTGATCGGGTACTGGTGGGTGGCACTGCTGGGCACTGGTGGAAAGCACTGCTAAGCGGTACTGCAGGGCACTGATCATCAGCGCACTGATGATCAGTGCCGATCTGTTCTGTCACATTTGCCAGTTATCGGCAGTACTTTCCTCATGCTGTGATAGCAATTCAAACAGTTGTAACTGGCAACTGTATTTACTCCATGGTCTGCTGTGTCATTGGACACAGCTGATCACATGGTAAAAGGCCTCTGTGATTAGCCTTTTACCTCATCACGTGATCAGCTGTGTCACGAATCACGAAGATCGCCGGCTGCGCAGCGCTGGGCGTGTGCGGGGAGGACGTCATATGACGCCCTCCCAGAACTGGATAACCGCGCTGTAGCTGGCATTCGGTTATAGCGTGGTTAGTAAGTGCTTAAGACTAGGTTCACACTAATGCGGTGTGGTATATCGCATTCCTGTGCAAATCACATGTGTACATTTTGTATGGCTCAAATCGCACCGCACCTTCACCAAAAAGGTTCAGGACCCTTTTTTGGTCCTCACTAGAACTGGATCGCATGGGTATTCACACCTATGTGATCCGATTCTGCACATCACACTGTGATTTGCGGACCGATTTCGGGATTTGTACTTCTGTCCATTAAGTTCTGGGGCATACACAACTCTACCAGACAGCAGAGCCAGGTTGGTGACTTTTGCTTACTGCTGTTAAGCAACACCATGTGGTCACCTTATTTCCCCAGCCTCTCCGAATGTTCCTTTCCAGCTCTTTTGGCTTTTAGCGCTTCCCTCCCTCTTCCAGCATAAGGCTTGCCATACATTGAGAGAATCAGACCCTCCATCCACATTATACAGTGTGAATGGACAGCTGCTGGAGGTAGCTGTTGGACTAACCTAACAGCAGCTGCATTTGTTTGCATGCAGCTGCTATTCGGCCAACAGTTTTCTACCCAGCTCCTTCAATTTATCAATGGAATGATGACGGGCAGGGGGGAGCCGTTAGGGCCACCCAGGAAGTAAATTTCAACCAGAGCACCATACACTTTGCATAGTGTATGGAAAGCTAAAGTACTGCTGTGCAAAGGATGTCAGGAGGAGCTGATACCAAGTCAAAATCAGGTACTGATAGAATACAATAACCCTAGGTTCACACCCAAGTGGTTTCTTCCGCGTTTTGCAGAAATGCAGTACAGTCCATTTAACATGAATTTTTATGGGACTGGCTCACATCTCCGAGTTTTTACCTGGTGCATTTTTTGGAAAGGGTCAGGGACTTTTTTGAACGCAAAACGTTGCATTTTTTGGTTCTATACACTTTAATGGGAACGCTGCAGAAAAGTATGTATTGCGTTTTTGATGTATTTTTGCAACATTTTTGATGCGTTTTGCATTTAAAAACTGCCTAGCAATAAGAAAAATGAATAAAAATAAAAATGCACAATGCATCAAAACACAGCAAAAACGCAAAATGCCACGCAAAACACAATGCAGAAACGCACAAAATGCAACCTGCATAGATGTGAACCTAGGGTTAATCTTTTTTTTAGTTTTAATGTATTTTTATTGCAAAGAAAATGTTCAGGTAAACAGTCATTTTGACAGTCAAGAAGAACATACTGTACATCTAAAAGGACATTTGGTAATGAATAAACAGTAATTTGATATCATGAACTTATCTAATTCTCGGTAAAGTTCCAAAAGAAGAATGGTTGGTTGCAAAATGTAGCATGCTTTTGAAATAATATGCAATTCAAACAGTTATATCAATAAAGTTTGTTAAAAAATATGCTGTTTGTTATATCTTTATAAGATGTTATATCTTTCTCTGTGTAGGGAGGTCAGTACCTCCTGCCCAAGTTCCTCTATTTTTAAGGATACTTGAATAATTACCTTCAGAGATAAGGCTCCGAATTATATTTATTGAGCATATTTGTATACGGGGAATACAGTGTCCGTCCTTCCTGCATCCCACTTTTCATAGAATCCTTCCCTGCTTATATAGCACTTCTTATCAAACAGAAACAGATCGCCCTGGAAGGAACAAAGAGGACACAATGCCTTTATTACACACATCTAATAGCACAAATCAGAATATGCGTTTTGCATAAACAACTTGAAATATATGAAGTTATAAAAACATGGAGTATACATCCATCCTATAACATTCTATATATGAGATTCAGTAAGGATCATAACAGGGGCGGACTGACAACTCATGGGGCCCCCGGGCAATAGGGGATCATGGGGTCCCTGTGTCCTTGCCCAAACTCAAAAAAGCCTATGAAAAAGGTACCAGGGACATCTCATGGGGCCCCCTACTTACCCCGGGCCCTCAGGCAGTGCCCGAGTTTCCAAATGGTCAGTCCGCCCCTGGATCATAATTATCTGTTTATTGTTGCGTTTCATGCTGCAAATTAACCACTTGCCTTCCAGAGGATTTACCCCCCCTTCCTGACCAGGCCATTATTTGCGATACGACACTGCACCCATATGAAATGTACATCCTTTTTTCCCACTAATGGAGCTTTCTTTTGGTGGTATTTGATCACCTCTACATTTTGTATTTTTTTGCGCTATAAACAAAAAAAGACCGACAATTTAGAAAAAATATTTTTGACTCTTTTCCAGTTAAACAAATGTTAAAATATCTAATGTCGTCATAAATTTAGGCCAAAATGTATTCTGCTACATGTCCTTGTAAAAAAAAAAATCCCAATAAGTGTAAATTAATTGGTTTACGTGAAAGTTATAGTGTTTACAAATGGCGATATATATACTGGAAATTTATTTTTTTTTACTACTAAAATGGCGTAGATGATCGACTTATAGTGGGACTGCGGGACTGTGGCAGGCATTCTGACACTGGGGGAAACTGACTTGGTGTCACTGACATCCCCAGTGACACCAGTACAGTGATCAGTGCTAATAAAAAGCACTACAACAGTAATGTCAACACTGTGTGTGGATCACTGAGAGTCTGTCACAGTGTCATGACTAGTATGTATTAGGCGGTAATTAGATTGGGATGATTAAACAGAATTTGTGCCCCTTTATCTGGAGTCCTCATCAGAGTCCCCTATTACATGGGCTCCCCTTCACAGTGCCCTTTTACTTCAGGGTCCTTATCAGAGCGTTCCCATTCATCAGGTGTCACCTTCAGCCTGGGTTCACATATGTGCGGTATATCTCATGTAATTCGCACAGGAACTGCACCAAATTCTTGTGCAAATCACATACGATTTGTGTGCACCGTGATTGGAGCTAT